GAAAAATTTCGTAAAATATAAATGTAGCGTCCAAATTTAAAGCAATTGGCTGGTAAATTTATTTCTATGTATGGCACTATCTATATGTGCGAACAATTCATTTACATTACTCTATTATTAACACATTGACGACGGCATGACCCACCGGTGGGTCATTAATTATAAATAATAGTTTTGTTGCTATGTACGCCACTGATTTTGACTGAGAATAACCTCAAATATCTTAAGTCAATTACAAATTTAAACGCCAATACATTTCTTATACATATTTTAATCATTCTTGAGCTATTAACTATACGTACAAATTAATTTGCGAAAAACTGCATATTTGAAATTTTCAAAAATACTTGGCGGGCCGGATAAAATCGCCTGCCGGGCCGGGTATGGCCCGCGGGCCGTAGTTTGGACACCTCTGATCTAGGTTATCGAAGACACATCCAATTACATTTCGCATCGAACCGATCAATTCTTATATAGACGTTTCTTTTCTACTAGAAACTTGAAATCGTATTGCTTCGAGTTATGCAATTTCGCAAAGTTACCTATAACCGAAGTACAAAGCTTTGTAGGCATTGAATGAATGATTTTACATGTAGGTTTTTGATACTGAAGTTATACAAGTCAACATCTACAACTATATAAATTACCGAAGAAGTAATGGATATTAATAATGAGTCTATATCGAAATCCTGACAATCAAATTCATGACATTTGAAATACCGACAACCATAATCGCGACAGTATCAAAGGAGTTTCGATGGAGGTTTCTTTATGCTTATGTATTTGTTTATACAATAAGACGTATAGACTAAGAGACTTTGTGGATTGTCTATATGAAATAAAAGCTATTGTCGGGATTTTGATCTGTACCGAGATTAATAATAGAGTAATGTAAATGAATTGTGCACAAACCGTAGAAAACCACGTTATCCTTTATGTAAACGTATGTGCCTAGACCGTGCCGGAAGCCCTTGTACCATGATCCCTCGTAGTTGTCACCATTTATATAGTGGTAGATACCATTTCCATGCTTGTTGTCCTTCCTCCAATGGCCCACGTAGCGGCTACCGTCCGGATACTGCATCTGCCCAAATCCGTGCTTCAAACCTAAACACACTGAACACGTAAAGTTGATGTGCTTTCGCTGCGATCTTCGCTACCTTTGCGCCACTCCCCGTCGTATCGGGATCCGTTTCGGAAACAGTACATCCCTTTGCCGTGACGTTTACCGCGACGGTAGTTCCCCTCGTAGATGTCTCCGTTGGGCAGAAGAGCACTCCCGTAACCGTGCCTATCCAAATTATCATCTCTACTACCCACGTATTCCTGAAACAACCATATATTATTATTGATTCTAAATATGATTTGTTTTTGTGTAAAATATACAATGGATACTTACACCGTACGGGTACTTTTCGGTTTCCGCACCTTCTCCGCGTTCTTCCTCAGCCATAAACAATACTGTTTACTGTTCTCCTGTAATTGTCACAGTTGATGTGTGTCAAAGCGGTTGTTGATGATGATGATGTGTGTGTAGTGAAATAAAGCAAAACAGAAGGCGAACGTTAAAATTTCAATTTATTTCATGCGTCACATAGTAATCACACATATATAGAATTTGCAGACAACAACAACATCTTTATTTCTATATAATTCGCTTCGTTTTCCAACAAAAACAAAAAAAAATAAATATATACCCCCTATCGAATACTCGCTTCGTAAATTCTACATGCAATACGAGGCTGCTGCTGGTCGTGGTCGTCGTCCGCTAATCGTAGAAGTAATGCGCCAGCGGGTATCTGATCGTGAATGCGACCGCCGTGCAACAGATCTGTATGCCTATCAGGATGGTGGTGAGCTTCGCCTCGTGCAACGGACCGGTCAGCTTGAGCACGAGATTGATGAGGGTCAGATTGTTGGTGATCACGTGGTCCTCCTTCGTCTGCCACTGGATGAGACGGAAGAGCCGGAAGACGCTGATCACGAGCCTGCCGAGGGCGCTCAGATCGTTGTACCGGAACTTGGTGGTGCTTATCTCTAGTTTGTCAGTCTTCGAGTTGAACTTTGGTAGACGGTGGCGAGGGCACGGCACGAAGTGGAACAGCTGCGGAATCGAATAGAGGAAGTTGAAGATTTGCGGTATGAAGAAGAGCAGCGTCGTCTTGCTGAAGTGCCCCAGGATGCCAACCACGGCGAACGTCATCCCGGACAGATAGCAAAACGTGTCGCCCACGAACACCTTCGACGGATACCTGAAAACAATGGTAACATCCTCTTCAAATCCATCCTCTCTCTCTCACACACCTCGTCACACAACAACAATCCTTCTCTATTTATACTCTTTATTCATTCTTAAACCTTAAACTTTTTTTTAAATATTTCGAAAATGGAAATCAAAACCAACTTTTGGCGCAACACTAGTCAACATTTTAATTCGGGTAGTAGTAATAGTATAAATTGAAGATATTAACACCTTTGACGGATACCTGAAAACAATGGTAACATCCTCTTCAAATCCATCCTCTCTCTCTCTCTCTCTCACACCTCATCACACAGCAACAATCCTTCTCTATTTATACTTAATTCATTCTTAAACCTTATTTTTTTTTTAAATATTTCGAAAATGGAAATCAAAACCAACTTTTCGCGAAACACTAGTTAACATTCTAATGCGGGTAGTAGTAATAGTATAAATTGAAGATATTAACACCTTCGACGGATACCTGAAAACAATGGTAACATCCTCTTCAAATCCATCCTCTCTCTCTCTCTCTCTCACACCTCATCACACAACAACAATCCTTCTTTATTTATACTCTTGATTCATTCTTAAACTTTTTTTTAAATATTTCGAAAATAGAAATCAAAACCAACTTTTGGCGGAACACTAGTTAACATTCTAATGCGGGTAGTAGTAATAGTATAAATTGAAGATATTAACACCTTTGACGGATACCTGAAAACAATGGTAACATCCTCTTCAAATCCATTCTCTCTCTCTCTCTCACACCTCATCACACAGCAACAATCCTTCTCTATTTATACTCTTTATTCATTCTTAAACCTTAAACTTTTTTTTAAATATTTCGAAAATAGAAATCAAAACCAACTTTGAAAACAATGGTAACATCCTCTTCAAATCCATCCTCTCTCTCTCACACCTCATCACACAACAACAATCCTTCTCTATTTATACTTGATGATTCATTCCTGTTTCTAAGATTCTCTTCATTATTCCTAATTCACATTAGCGATCTTAAACTTTTTTTTTACAAAGATGAAATATTTCGAAAATAGAAACCAACTTTTGGCGGAACACTGGTTAACATTAAACAGTTTACAAAATAAATTATAATTATTCTAATGCGGGTAGTAGTAATAGTATAAATTGAAGATATTAACACCTTCGACGGATACCTGAAAACAATGGTAACATCCTCTTCAAATCCATCCTCTCTCTCTCTCTCTCACACCTCATCACACAGCAACAATCCTTCTCTTTATTTTATACTCTTTATTCATTCTTAAACCTTAAACTTTTTTTTAAATATTTCGAAAATGGAAATCAAAACCAACTTTTGGCGGAACACTAATCAACATTCTAATGCGGGTAGTAGTAATAGTATAAATTGAAGATATTAACGTGTGCGTGTTCAAAATCCAATTAATGGGGAGAGATATACAGATAGAATGTGTTAACACTAAGTATAGAATCAACAGAAGTGTGAATCATACACTAACTTTGGGGTGTGGATGAGTCAACTTGTTTGCAAAACGAGATAATGCGGGTCACACACCTTCATTCATATTTACGCATTTAAAGAATACATTTTGTTAAAAAACTTTGTTGGAAAATTGTTTCACAATTGCATAATGAAATTTACTCTTAAAAATGTATATATTCTAACGAAATTACTTCAGTTGGATGTTGAGTCATCAGTATTTATGTGAGTGTGATCATGTCATCAATATCTATTATGATTGCAAATTGGAAATTGACTCATGTACAGCCATGCATATCCAATTAGTGCATACAAAACTATTGGTTTGTAAAGAAGGGAATGACTTTAAAGTATTCATCTGAGGGATGAATAGGAGCTAAAGGTTCTTACTGGCGCAGTGCATACATTTAAAATTTTAAACAGATGCGGTTCGGTTCGACGCGGAATGCGGTTCACCGAAGGCCGCTTTTGGATTTGAAGACTGTTGCGAGACGCGAGGGATTTGTTTGTAGAGGAGTCCGGATCGTGGATTAGAAATGTGCTAACGATTAAAATTCCAGAAGACGGAGAGAATGGAAAGGAGAAGGGAAGAAGCTGGAAGAGATGCAGGAGAGGAGAGAGCGCGCGCGCTTTCGCGAGAGAGGCGCAAACGGGGAGCGCGCCTTCGCACGCATGTTTTAAAAATAAAAGTAGGGCGGTGTCCGAAAAAGAGTGGATTTAATAATTATAAAGCGCGGAGTGAGAGAAGGAAAAGTCGGAACATGTTCAGCTCGCGTGCACCGACGGCGATGTAGCACCACCGCAGACGTACGTGAACGGGGGAATCATCCACTCCAGCGACGACACCGACCCCCCCAACGGAAGAGTTGAGGTTATGTGCCTTCGCACCAGGTCCCCTCATGTGTAAGACGCGTTTAAACCTGAAGAGAATATCGGTCGGGATTCTGCTCATCCTACAGATATGCGTGATCTCGTTATTCTTCAACATGCAGCCGAGCTACAAACAATCAAGCAGGAGTTCAGTCTCCTTCCTAGTTGCCACACCGAACAATAAGACTGATTCAAAGCCAACCACATATCATACATCCCACAGCAAGATACTGCTGAAGAGCATCAACACGAGGAAGCTGTACGAAGACTTCAACTCCAGTCTGTGCTACAAGAAGGGCACCGACATCAAGCTGATGAAACGTTCGCACAACACCTGGAAATGTGAGTGCCTCCCAGGCTACCATGGCATAGACTGTGGTCAAGCCGAAGTCATCTGGAGGACCCTCCTCACATTAAGAAAACCCATCCAATTGAAAGGTAGATCGTTCGAGCGTCGCATAATATACATATTCGAAATTAGCGAAATTACCAGGACAATATCCGATATTAGATTGAACGAACTGAACCAAACCGTCGATCTGTTCGTGCTGTACGAGCTGAACAGCGACTTCATGGGCAACCAGATGACGTACAACTTCCTCAAGGAATTCCACGACAAGATTCTGTATTTGCGAGTGACGAAAGTCGATAAACTGTGGTTCCAAGTGAACAGGGTGATCGGGAATCTGAAGCAGGACGATCTCATTCTGGTGTCCGGCTTCAACGAGATCCCGAACGTCGCGGCGCTCCAATTCTTCAAGTTGTACGACAACTGGCCGGAGCCGATAAGTTTCAGATTGAGGTGGTCAGTGTTCGGGTTCTTCTGGATACACCCGAACAAGACCTTCCTCAAGGTGCAGGCGTTCACGAAGAAGTACCTGTACGAAGGCCTCAACAATCGACTCTCATCGATAATCAGCAATAACAAAACGACGAGCAATTTCAATATAGGCGATTTGAATCATTACGGCGGATGGTACTGCGAGTTCTGCAACGATCCCATAAAGATCATCGACGAGCTGAACCGCCTTCCAAAGCAGATATTCGACGATGGAAATGCGAAGACGATCGACGCGAACTACGTGGAAGAGTTGATCGAGAACGGGATTTACATCGACGGTAAAACCGAGCTGCTGAGGGCGCACAGGTTTCGCGAATCGTACTTCGCGCCGACCTTCCTCACCGAAAACACCTGGAAGTACGACTATCTCATGCTGAACATATATTCAAAGATGGACTATTACGAGTAACTCTTAAGTAGAACTACTAATTTAAAAACAATATCTGTGATATTATACCTAATACTCTTATTAATAAAAAGCAAATATTTATCGAATCGAATCATATTTTTTTGTCAACTCACCAATTGTATTTCAGCAAGGCCAACGAGGTTGCTATGTACGGCAGCATAAAGTACAAGCTGAACTGGTGCTTCCACAGATCTCTCGACAGCTCTATCAAGTTAAATATCACTATGGAAACTGCAATCACAATGCTCTGGCCGACCTCCAATCCGTTCACTCCTGCTAAGATGTTGATGGCGTTCGTGCAGAACACGGCCAGCATGCCCATGTACACGTAGTACAGAAAACCTAAGTTTATCGAAAGTCCTAGCAGATCGCGCAACGGTTTAGGCACCAAAATCGTCGTGGAATTTATGTTCACGTAATATACCATGAGCAGAGGCAGCGATGCAACTGTGGGCAACAGCAGTTTGTGCCTCCATCGCAAATCCAGCACATCATCAGCAAATCCCAATAGAAGCATGCAACATATGGACAGTAGAGCAGCTATCAACTCGACAAACTAAAAAAAAATGAAATCTTTGAATTCTCTAGATTACTACAAGATTAAGAACCGAACCTCATCATGAGGAAAATCCCCGTTGAACAGAGATGTGCCAAAGGGTATTGGTATGAATAGAAACATTGTCACGAGGAATGTGCATCCAGAGACGACTCCGAGAGCTTCAGGTCTGCAAAAATGATTGTGGCATTAGCATCGAAATGGCAGTGTGTACACGTATGAGTATAACCTTACACCTTATCACTGGTTGTCTTGCTCATGTCTATGCCGAAGAGGTTGGCCTTAATGAACATGTCTTTGAGCTTTGGTATTATCCTAATTGTTACGAAGTATGCGCATGTGGACATCACGGCGTTCACGATTATTGGGAACCACATCTTCCACATTTTGTTGGATATCAGCAAACCGTCTTCGCCTGTCGCCATTTTTCGCTTCAACACTCTCGACTTTCGGAGAGTACGCACTATTCGAAGCACATAACAAACGACTATCTCGACGCAACAAGCCTACTGCTAAAAGCTGAAGAAGACGTTTTCACTGGCCAACATATCTCATGCAGGATGCATTCACTGATAACACATGTGATTATGATTACATGTCATAAACAAAAACACGAGCGTACGCGTCGATTATTTCCTTCAAGAAAACACAGTTATTACGATCATTTCTATAGGAGATTTGCAATTTCTCCTCATCAAAAAGTCGTATTGATTTTTTAATTCAATTTATCAAGCAATTTGGAAAAACTATTAAGTCGCGTTATTAAAGTTGCATAACAAATTGCAATAGCAGTGTCGTACCTTCATAATTTTTACATCTACCTCTCATATATTTTCACAATAAAATCAATAAACAACAATCTGAACAAGAATTAAGCTTTGATTTATTCATATTTATTGAAATAATATTGATTTAAAGAGAAAAACCAAATTATAAGTGTATTGAATCTGACGATACGCCACTGATTTATACAATGTTTACTTTTTAATTCAAAATTTTAAAAGCAATATTTAAAGAAAACAAATAGAAGCAAAGCTTTATTGTTATTAGTTTCAACGATTTAGGGGTAATAAATATAATAAATGTTGTAAAATAATTTGAAGACTAACATAACCTAACATTTGGAGATTCAAAGCTTTTGTAGTAAACAGAAAATAATGGATGAAAACAAAGTGAAAGTTGCTCAAGATTCGTTGCAGAAAGTGCACGAGTACAGATTCAGCGGAAACAATGGAAGGGCCTTCGCGCATTTCCTCCTCTTCTTGGAACTGCTTCCTGCAGAGAGACAAAAACATGAGCAGCACTTCTCCGATACTGCAACAGAATGGTGCACCGAACTGGAGTTGAAGGGACAATTCGAGAACGTCTGCAAGTGCTACTCGCAGGCCATCAACTACTTTCCCAAAAACGTTGAAATCTTAAACAGCTTTGGGTCGTTCCTGCTTAGGTAATTTTGTAAATTAAATAAATTATATTTGATAAAACAATCTTTTTTCGTGTTTTCTGTAGATGCAATGCCCCTTTGGAATCTAAAGTTTACCTGAACGCTGCACACAGGATAGATGCTGAAAATTTGGTCGTATTGAGTAATTTGAACACTGCCAATTTGCAGCTGGTCGAGAGGTGGCATTTTAGAATGTTGAATGATGTCAGAAGGAATTCATTGTATAATGAAGCAATCCAGAAGAGTATAGATGGAAGATACAATAAGGTCCTGGATATTGGGACTGGCTGTGGATTCTTGAGCTTGTGCGCTTCCAAGAACGCGAATACCAGCAGGATTATTGCTGTAGAAGAGTCTGAAGCTTTGAGTGCTATGGCTGAAGAGGTTTTCCAGAGGAATAACGTGGAAAATATTAAAGTTTTAAATGGAAATTCTACTCAAATTAACGATATTAGTCTTTCCAATGTTCTAATCACTGAAATCTTCGATAGCGCTTTGTTCGGCGAACATTGCTTGGAGACTTTGATACACGCGCACGAAAAGTTATTGGAAAAGGATTGCAGGATCATTCCTGCTTCTGCCAAGATCTATATTACCGGCATAGAAAGCAAAAATTTGGCGAAGAAGCATAAGGTTATTTCTAGTCACGAACACTTTGGTGAGCTCTGCATTGTGGAATGCAAAGACGAACCGTACGAAGCTGAACACGTTTCCAAGTACGACCATAAATTGCTGACTGAAACTGTCCAGTTGTTGAACGTGGATTTCAGCAATTTGGAGCAGTTGAAGAGCTTGTACAATGACCCAAAGTCTATCCCTGATACCGAATTGAAGATCGTGGAGAGTGGAACTTTGCACGCGTTCGCCATCTGGTTCACTTTGGAGCTGAGCGACGGTCTTTCCATCACGACGAATCCGTATTCAGATAACTGCGATTGCTGGGAACAAGCGATCGTATTCTTAGATCATTTCCAAACAAAATGCAAAGGCGAATCGCTCGTAATATCCGCGTCTTGTGCGCAAAACAAATTGCAAATCACGTACACCAACGGAGATGAATCCTCGTGCGATTGTTACCAAGTCCAGAAGGACGTTGTTAACTTCCTGAACGATTCGAAACTAATACAAACACTCAACGATGCTAGTCGAAGTATCCAGAAGACTGACGAATTGCATGTCCTCGATTTGTATCCGTTCCCAATAATCGGTCTCAACTTAATGGCCCAATCAAACGCGACCGTTGTAACGATTACGGAGAATGCCGATCTCTTGCGAAAGATGTGCGATTTGAACGGGGTGGATTTTGGCAGATTTAAAATGATCTCAGAAAGTGATCTAAGCAACGAATGTTCGCAGAAATACGACGTTGTCGCCTTCGATCCCATCAGCAGAAATGGTACGATATGCGAATCGTTCTTCGCCAATTACACGCAGTATTCTAACGCGTTGAAAGACGATGGGGTTTTTGTGCCGAACGCTTTGCGTCTGAAATTTGCGTTGGTGGAAAGTTGTTATTTGGTGAACTGCAACGCCGTTTCGGATGCGAACGTGATGGGATTCAAAATCGCCGATTGCATAAATCAATTTAAAGTAACAAAGCAATTAGTATTATTATTGTATAACCAATTGAATTTGTTTTTAGGCTAGCGAACTGTGGATTATGCAGCACGGCAATTTTCCGCACAAGAAACTGACTGCAATCTGCGACGATTACAAAGTGCAATTCGAGGATGCGTTCAACGTGCGAGAATGTCGCATAGAAAGTGTTAAAGGTAGAGCGGACGGAATCCTCTACTGGTTCGACATCCATTACCCAGGAAACGTCTCCATGGACACGTATAACTCCAATTACTATAACAAAGTCGTTTCCGTTGTCAAGGAAACTGTTAACATGGAAACTCCTAAAGTGCAAATCAAGCAACACAAGGGATTGTTAAGTATTTTATTGAAATAAAAACTGTATATATTAAATAACACATCTAACCCTCGCCCAAGACCAGCGTTAATATCACAATTTGCTGTTTTCCCTGAGTAGAAATTCGGTTACTAACGGTGCGATTCGTTCCGGATTTTCGTTGTGCACGTCGTGGTTTCCAGCGACCAATTTAATTTTAATATTCTTATAAGACTTGAGCTGATTGATGATGCGTTTGAAGTAGATGTTTTGGCCGTCAGATTCTGTGCTCAGGACGATCAGCACCGGACACAGAACCGGATGTTTCTTGATGAAATCACTCAAATATCGAAAGTCGAATACGGGATTGAAAAAGTTCTTGAGACTCTGGTCCACGGACAGTCTGATTTTACCGTTTTCCAAAGGAATCGCGATCCTCTTCAGCAGAGGCTCAGCCGCTTCCTGACTTATCACATTGTACCTTCTGCTGTGCATCAACTTGTCGAGCGCTTCTTCGTACGTGTACTCTGGCGCTTTTCTCGTCTTGAACTTTCTCGTTATATCGAAATACTGATCGTGGGCGTTTCTGATGTGCTCTTTCAAGTATCTTGTCGAGGTGGGGTACAGGTAAATCGTATCCAACATGATCAATTTCGTCACATACTCTGGATAGATTTGTGCGAAGAAGAATCCCAGTTGACCACCCCAGCTGTGTGCCAGGATCATGTACTTCTTCCGATCGAAATAATCTGCAACAATTTTGTACACCAGCAGGTTATCCAAACTGTTAATTAGACGACTGCCTCCCCAGTGTGAGGACTTTCCATGTCCAGGCAGATCTATCCCTATGTAGTAGTAGTGCTTCGGAAGCATTGATATTAGCCTATCAAAGGATCCAACATTGTCCATTACACCATGGATGACCAGGATTGGAGGATCCTCTTTCTCTCCCCATAACTTAACTAAAATTTACACATAACACACTTTCTTAATCTGCACTTTTCTTACCATTACTACTTACTCGCTATTTCTCCCCAAGGAGCAGACACTTGCAGCTCCTCAATTTTCATTTTTACTACAGAGTGACCCTGTACTTTGTATACTTTGACCTGGAACGAATTTCGCTCACGTTTTTTATCTCATCTCTCACTCGAACAAGTACCGAATTCGTTCATGCTACATTAACAATCCGGCAATCTTGTAATAACTTTACACCTATTTACTTATCTTTTTTTAAAATTCGATTATCTCTGATAATGTAAATGCGTATATGTGACCATATTTACAATGGACATAATTATAAACATATATAAAATAAACGAAATCCATTCTGAAAACAGAAAGTAGTTAAATTGATAATAGTAGTAAATGTAGTGAAATGGATTTTCATGAAATTCAAATTGAAAACGTTGGTGGTGGTGGAGGAGGCTGAAAGTGGCTGAAAATGGAAGTAAAAATTACAATGTTTGAATTTTGGCAGCGGCTTTCTCGGGGGGGCTATAACATGTTACGCGTTTCTGATGTTGGCAGTACATTAATTACACCTAGTGAGCAATGCTAATTTCTGGTGTAAACCGTTTATGTATGTCGTTATTTTTTGGGAAATTTCCTATATATTTTATAAATGAAGACGTTTAGAATTTATATTTTTATAGCAAATTTGTTATGAAATAAGAAACAACCATGAACGGTATGAATTTTACATCTACTTTTATTCCAACTGCATGCACTCTGCTTGTTTTTTTCCCTTTTTCTCTCCTCTTTCTTTCCTTCTTTCTTCCTCTCTCTCTCTCTCTCACTCACCACAAATGCATCATACAGAAAAGTGTGTATTATTAGATCAATTTTGTGTTAAACCTCTCGATTGCATTTGTTTCTTTCCCTAATAATTCTTCAGTTGTTTATCATTAGACAACACGTAGAGATGTTCATCCAATTCCATTAAACTTCAAGTTCAAAGTATGTTATTGTTTTCTATATATATATATTTGTTGCACTTTATTATTGTTGTTGTTATCTGCGTTTTGTTTTTTATTTAATTGTTGTTTCGTTAATTAATGTTTTGAAGTATATACAATGCCAGGGATGGCGGACATGGGGATGGTGTGGATGGGCTCCGGACAGACAGCTGACATGTCCCTGGGGCTCATGCCCACGGATTCTGGGGAAATTCTACTGGATCATGAAACCACATATTACCCATCCCACCACAGCACATCCAATCATTCGATGGACGATCTGGGAAATATACACAATTCTCCAATGGTGAGTGTTGCACATATTCTGCATATTATTACACCTAAAAGTGACATTTGATTTAGGTCATGGACGGTTTGGATTTGCTCAACATGGGTGATAGCAATGATAGCAGCTACACTGAGGAAGATGCCCAGCAAGTATATATGATAACTACAGCTACACAGACACTGCCATGTCCAACAAAGAAGATCAAACCCATCAAACATCCTGGTTTGGTGCTGAAAACGCCAATAGCCTATCAAAGCAATACAGATCCTTCAGTGATACCCATCCATAAGGATGGAATAGGTATGTATTAATAGATGCAACATTGCCATAATGTTTATTATTTTTATTTAAGCTGTATGCGAGAAATGCGGTGCCATCGGGGTGAAACATGCCTTTTACACGCGAGAGAGGAGATTCTGCAGCATGGCTTGTGCACGAGGCTACATCCCGGACTCCTTGCCAAACACCACCGGGACGCAAACGCCAGACTCGCAGTTCTCGGAGCACCAGTTCAAAATGGATACACAGGAGGATATGTCGGAGTACTCCAGTGATCAGCCTTTCCCTCAACTGCCAAAGCAAGACGAGACGCCGATAGACGACAACCTGACGCTCATCAGGCGGACGAACGCTGACATCATGAACAGCTACGATTGGGATGTGCAGCTGAAGGAGCCGCTGTTCGTCGCGGCTCCGGTGAAATGTTTCCCATCTGCGCCAATGTGCGACAGCTGGGACAACATTATGGTGGGCATGAAGGTCGAGGTGGAAAACACCGATTGTGATAATATCTCGGACGCGTTTCCCGACTCGTTCTGGGTAGCCACGGTGATCAAGATTATAGGCTACAAAGCACTCCTAAGGTACGAGGGCTTCGGACAGAATATTACCAAAGATTTTTGGATTTCGCTGTGCTCGAATCAGGTCCATCCGGTTGGATGGTGCGCGTCCATCGGTAAACCGCTTATCCCGCCGAAGACGATAGAGAACAAGTACAGCGATTGGAAGGAGTTCCTTAGGAAGCGGCTTACCGGCGCCAGGACGCTACCATCGAACTTCGGCATGAAGATCTCGGACTCGCTAAAATCCCGGTTCAAGTGCGGCTTGAACCTGGAGGTTGTGGACAAGAACCGAATCTCGCAGGTAAAGATCGCCATGGTTCACAGGATAGTCGGAAAGCGGTTGAACGTTAAGTATTATGATATGACGCCTGAAGATACGGGTTTCTGGTGTCACGAGGATTCGCCGTTGCTGCACCCTGTGGGATGGGCGAAGAGGGTCGGTCATCATATAGTCGCGCCGAGCAGCTACATCCAGAAGGTCAACGATGGAACGTTCGACGATAACGATGCCACGGACGATCTGTTCAATGCCATTCAGGTCGGATCTAAGGATAAATGCACCGAGTTCGCGGTCGGCATGAAACTGGAAGCGATCGATCCGCTGAACCTGAGTTCCATCTGCGCTGCGACGGTCATGGACGTGCTGAACTGCGGCTACATCATGATCAGAATAGACACGTACGAGTCGGACGCGACCGGTGCCGACTGGTTCTGCTACCACAAGAACTCTCCGTGCATCTTCCCCGTCGGCTTCTGTCTGAAGAACAGCATCACGCTCACTCCGCCGAAGGGCTACGAAGCGAAGCTGTTTTCGTGGCCCGTCTACCTCCTAGCCACCAGTAATGTGCCTATCCCCGAAAATCTGTTGAACAGTTACATACCGCCGCACGGCTTCAAGGAAGGAATGAAGATAGAGGCGGCCGATCTGATGGACCCGAGGTTGGTGTGCGTAGCAACCATAGCCCGTGTCGTCGGTCGTTTGCTGAAGGTACACTTCGACGGTTGGGAAGAGGAGTACGATCAGTGGTTAGACTGCTACTCTCCCGACATCTATCCAGTCGGCTGGTGCTTTAGTGTTGGTCATAAGCTCGAGGGTCCACCGGTGCCGCTCAAACAGGGCCAGAAGTTGATCACGCCGACGAAAGGCATCAAACGGAAAGGCCGCAAGAAGAAGATCAAGGATAGCCCGCCGAAGACGAGCTTCACTAAAACGTTCAAACGGGAGGAGGTGCTCAAGCAGACGTCGTCGGTGGCGAAATCTTCCGATTCGAACGAAGAGATTGACGTCGACATCGACGAGGTCGTGGATGAGCCAGAAACAGGAGCTGAACCTGCAGGTCCTGATCAGAGTTTGCCCGTCTCCACGGAACCTTCGCCTCCCTCGGAGCGAAAAGTTTCCTCATACATAACTGTAAGAACGATGCATCAATTCATCAATTCTATTATTAACTGTGTCTGCTCTCCACCGTGTTTCAGTCTAGCAACAGTAATGCAAGTACAAAACATATACCTCGTTTAGTTGATAGTAGTGGCGGATCGTACGAGTCTAACGAACTTTGTCCAAATGAGTGGAATGTTTTCGATGTCGCTCAGTTTCTTAGAGTGAACGACTGCGCCAACTATTGCGACAATTTCAGTAGACAGGTCAGTATTCTTATTTTCTATTTTCATTCATTACATCCTAATATCAAACACATTTCAATATTTCACATAAAATAACAACAACAAAAGTAAACATTAAGTTTTAAGAAAATATCAATTATTTCTACTTTGCATATTTGTCAGAGTTGTGTGTTCTTAATTGGTACAACTACGTATGGTTATGCTATTCATATGAATCTGTTCAAATAAGAATTGCGATTGTAACACGCTCTGTTTTCCAGCGGGTCGATGGAAAGATGCTGCTGAACTTGAACAAGGAGGACATCCTTAATTTCACCGGCGGAAAGGTCGGTCCGTCGCTGAAGATCTACGACCTGGTGCAGCAGCTGAAGATGAAGTTGAACCCGTTGCAGTCGCGCCACATGAAAGCGAATATCAAAAAGATTTTATAGTGCCTACACAACACGGACGAGACGTCGCGTACAACATCAAGCCGCCGTCGTCGCAATCGTCCCCCGATCGCCATCTATTTTATTAATTGTACACACGGATCGCGGACGGCTGCGACGGCGACTCGTCGCATGGATATCATTTTATTTAATTATGCTTATGTATTTATATATATTACGTTTATATGTATATTTGAAGTTTGGGATACGACGCTGTATCTTCGGTTAAGCAAGCGGCATGCAGACAGGCAGCAGCAACAGTCTCGTATAACTATTATTTATGATCAATCAAATAATTTATAAGTAAGAAAATTACTAGAGTTTTTAATTAGTTTTAACAAGAATATATATATAATACATATCTCTCTTTCTCTATTCACTTTCTTTGATCAATCACATCATGCAGCGTTTACTTTGTTTTTCTGATCGGTTAAAATCGTTTTCTCTTTTGTTTTTTTTTAATTGCCACACGCCACTCGATTAACTTTGTGAAACGGAATTAATCGAACAAACGTCGAGTAGCGTGCGGCCACCTTTACACACTATATTTGTTTCAACTGCGTCTCTTCTTGTAAACTAATATAAAATCTTTATGTTAATAATAACGTCGCTCGCCAATAATATATACACATAACACCCATTGATTTTCTATATTTAATGTTGAATTAGATTAGTTTATTTTTTTTTTAGTTGTTATTCGCTTTAAGTTAATTTTGTAGTTTCATTTTGTATTATTATTTGTATATTTTTATTTATTATTTGTAGTGTTTCTAAATTGATATTTTATTGCGATTGATTGTTTATGATGAAGATGTTTATGCGGGGGGGTGGAAGGGTTTCTTCTTTTTATTTCTTTTGATGACGCAGGTGAAATTAAATGTAATGTGTAAATCGAGGCAATCTATGAAAATGTTTGCGAAACAGCTGCGAATCGCGCGAACTAAGATGGTGACTACTACTATGTGTGTATTTTATACAGAGTGTGTGTGGCGGCGGCAATGAGTGTGTAGTGTGCCGCATTGTGGGGAGTTGCGGCGGTTGAGGAGAGGAGTCGTGCATGCATCATCATAGTACATCATAGTAGTAAATTAAGGTAGAAGCCGAATGAGAGAAGAGGACGCGCGTTGGTGAGAGGGGAGGAGGAGGTGGTGGCGGCGTCGAGTATGGCGGGAAGGAACGAGGTTAGAACTGGGCGGTGCTTGGACGCCAGCTGGCAGACGAACCGCGCGTCCCCGGTCCTCGAATGCTCCGCGCCGTAAATAGTACCCGGATGCGGGACGAGTTTTCCGGCTGCGGTTGCGGACCCGGAAACCGGTGGCGGGAGGCGGCGACCGTGGCGGTCGTAAGGGTTCGCGACCCGCCGCCCCCACGGCTCTCGCCGTCGCCGGAAGTGCGTGCTAGGCGTGTGCCCGGCCCGGTACGCGCGCGTATGAATCCCGCCGTGGTGGCGTCGGCCGGGCCTCAGCTGTTTCCCGCCAAACATTTGCCACCAGAAAACCGCTGTGAGGCGTAGCGTATGTTGGATGTGTCGCGCGCAGACCGTTTTTCCAGTGGAATTTCAGTGAATCGCGAACGGGAAAATTTTCGAATTTCCTCTAATTCCTTGTTTGTGTGCGAAATAAACACCGCCGTTGTTTCGAGTTCATCCTACCGCCACCCCCCCGCAAAAACCAAATCCGTGTAATTATTATGTCCGTATTTGTTTCCGAAAAGAGAGTGCTGTACGACGGAACATTCGAAGAAAAAGTGCACATAATCGGGGACATTGATAGAGAGCTTGAAAAGTAAGTAGTAGTAGTAGTAGAAATAGTATACAGCAGCAGCAGCAGCAGTTCTCCCCTTTATTATTATTATTATTATTATATTGTACAACAACTTTTACTCGCGACTTTTTTTTAAATTTTCAAATTATCATCCCAAGTTTTCTCCTGCATCGCCACAATTGTTGTTACCGCCGCCGCGTCCATGAGGTTCGGCGGTGCCGGTGTGCGTGCGTACATATTTTGGTTACACACACACATGATTTTGACGTTTCCATTAATCGGACGTCAAGTTTCGTTTCGTTTTGTTTTTTTTCTTCTTTTATTTCTTTTCCCTGGACTCCTTCGATCCTGGGATGCACGCACACACAACGCAGCCAGCCCAGCCTCTCCCTAACATCAGCTCTACGCTGCACACACCGCTTGTAGTAGTAGTGTAGCATCGATGTTGTAGCAGCAAGCAAGCAAGGAGGAGGCATGGTATAGGCATGGCATGGCCTGTGTGTTTGTGCGCTCCGCTCCCGCCATCTTCGCCGTGAACCGCCTTTTCAAACGTCGATCTCGCATTATTATTATACTCTCGCACATTACACACTGCACACACCGTGCGATTACGTAAAATTCAAACAATTTCGAACGAATCCTAATAATAACGCACAGCGCGCACGATTTTAAATGCAAACCCAAAACTTTTTTTTTTTTGCATTTCCCTATTTATTTAACAGCAGACAAACATACAACATTCCCAATTTGCATTATCATCATCATCATAATACAACCAATACTTTATTATTTACTTTTAAACAATTATCACTTCTATTCTACTACAATATAAACATCAACATTCCAATTGGATTATCATCATCATCATTCAACATTCCAAATCCAACCCTCAATTAATTTGCTCATGTATATATATTTTTTTTTAAATTATATTTATTTTCGGTCCGACCTCGTTGTCGTGTGTACGGGAACATCTGTTTTATTATTTCGGATATCGATTGAGCAACCAACCCTAAGCAGCAGCAGCAGCCAGTCAATGCATTCCCTTCGTCCCTCAACTTTTAGACTCTCCTCTACTGCAGCTGCAGCTCATCCCTTGCTCGTATTATTTAATTCCAATTAATTATTTAAAATTAATTATAAAAAATAATATTAACAATGATCCACATCCGTTGAATCATCAGTTATTTTTAAAACAATATTTACTTTAATTTTTAAGTCTTGTAACAATAACATTGATAGTAAAATAATATTACGTTTCATTTAAAAAAATGTTTAACTCCAATTACAAAATGCATTTTGATTAAAGCGAAATGATTCATTCATATTGTTTATCAACTTGAATATGTTTTGTGTAATGGAAACACAATGAGTTGAAAAAAAAAATGTGTAAACTAAATGAAATTTTTGAATCGGTTCTTCAGGTGATTCAAGTTTAATGAAAAGAAGCGTAGTAAGAATCGATAAGCAATGAAAAGAAACAAGACTTTTCTAAAGAAAGGAGTATGAGTGAATGAAAAGAGTGTTTGTTTGACCTCTACGCACTGAGGTCAACCAGGATTATCCTTGAATCTGTGCATCGTTTTTCTATTCTTCAAAGTATTTCAATAGGTTAATATCAATAATAATAAAATGTTTTCATTCATCGTTGAAATTCGTAAAAAATACTGATAATTGGAAATAAATATAGTTAGAATTTCTGTATACTAATTGATAGATTGAATATTGACTCAGCTGTTTTGTACTGAATATTTATCAATGATTAAATGAATATCAATTTGAAAATTGGAAATCCCAAATTGTAAGCGGATGCAATTCATCATCATCATCATCCACATTTTAAAGTATTAGTAACAGTGATCTTGGATGAGTGTGGACGAAATTGTAAAAATGAACGATGATTCACGCACATATTAAGTTCGGTTCGTCGAAAAGACGAACATAGTTTTAAAACTTTAAACATTCTAATCTTTATTACCATATAACAATAAAGGAAAAAGCAAAAACGATTCGCATTCATATATTGCAGAGCAGTTTTGTTGGTGTTTCATCCTCCTTATTGTTCGATGCATGCATAGAGAGAGGAGCTTATCGATTATTTTTCGCCGTCGCTCCGAACAGCCGGTATTTAATGTCGGCACATTGTCGGTCGTTTGTTGTTGTCTGTTTCGGTCGTTGCTTGCATGAATTCTGTTTACGTAATGCTGCGCAACTTGGCGTTGGCTGGCAGCGGCGATGTTCGTGTTGCGCAAAAAATAAAAACTCATATATCGGCGGATACTACACAAAACGTTCATTGAATAAATGCTACATACATATCAATTTATATAACATTTTTTGTTTTATCAAAAACTGATTTCAAAAAAATTAAGTTGAACCCCAAATTTAGGAAACAAAGATGATGAGACGTTCTCTTATTCCAAGTAGATTTCTCTATTCAAAAGTAGTATCTTATGGTTGAAAAAACACGCTATTTCTATCCTCTACAACAGCGTGTCGATGTTTGTACAAATTAGGAATATAATTATATTTTTTGTTTCGTGGGAAAACATATGATTTGATCCACTTAATTAGATTAAACGCCTCGTTATTATATTATAATCTCGAATTATTTTTTTTTTTCATGGACCAAAACACAATCGGCTCAATCCGTGGGAACGAAAGAGAGCGTTTTCTATCATCACTTTTCATTTATTCTTTCTTTCCAGTGTGCACGCTAAGTTTCCCGCCTTCTTCTCTTCTTGGTTCATGAATAGGGAACGAAAGAGGTTTCGAATTGCATATGCATTTCCGATTGTGTGTATCTGGCGGAAGGAAGCAGCAACGCCCCAACGTCGGGTGTATCCAAGGAAACATGTTTCTTTTTGACCGGCAAAAACAATGGAGAGAAACATTTCGAACGAATGTAACACGATTAATTCGAGTTTTCTATTTCTTCTTTAATTCATTTTCGTTTCGTTTGTTTTAGCTGAACTCGTTTTTGTTTTGTTATTATTATCGACTTCCGGTGCTTTATCTCTGCATTTGCTGGCAATCTCTTTGGAATTCACGTTTTAATTAAAGAACGCACATGTGTTTCCTCCTTTTTTTTATTTTGTTTTATTCGCGACTGCAAAAGTGCTTTAATTCTGTTTAGTTTGAAGAATTCGGTTATCTGAATAACATGAAATAACGCTTCCGTTCTTTATTTATCTTGCTAGCTGCGCGTAATCTGTCTATTTACATTATATAAAATATCATCGTCAAGCAGGATATGAATCCGTTCAATCAAAAAAAAAAATGTTTAGTTTGCAAAAGTTTTTAAAAACTCTGCAATGTTTGAATTTTTTGAAGCTCCTGTTTTGTTTTGGCGCAAAGTTCTTTCGATTAGGTTCTCAAGAATTACCATTTTGTTCTTTTCTTGTTGGATTTGAGGACATTTTTTTGTGTCATCTTATTGAAACTGTGGGTTTTATTTTATTTTTTTTGTACCTGAACCTGTCGTAAATCGTGCAGATGTGCTGGAATTGCGGGTCAGTACCGCGAATTCGATTGTTGTTGATGCAGGTATAAAATTGGAGAAGGTATGAAAATAAGAAATGCGTTCGGCCCTTTCTATCGCCATTCAACGCTGCTGCTCTGGCCCTTCTTTCACTTATTTGTATGGGCAGCGTTTGAATAGAGCGGATTTCTTTCGTTCTTACCTTCTTCTTCTCCTCCTCTTCATTTTTTTTTTGGGGAGTAAGTGTGGGAAAGCTGCGGCGCGCAGGTGGTTCTCTCTTTCTTTCCCAAAGGAAAAACACGCTTCTTGCGTTTTTCCTCTCATAAATTATTCACCTCCGTTTACAATTCACACACACACACAGATTTCTATATATATATACATATGCACACACAGGTACATTGTCTATCTTATCTTGGGCTTACAGCATGGGAACAGCTGTTTCCCGCCGATAACAGCCGATACTGCTACATAATAATCGCATCGCAGAAACTGGCGATGTGTGTGAACTCTAGCTATCGCGCGCTCGTCGTTGTATTTTTAGAGCTTAACTTTTTGAACGATCGAGAGACTGTAAAATAAAAACGATTATTATGTATCTAGATATCCGCATTTTTGTTTTATAAATATATATACATACATACACATGCAGGTTCGTGTGTATGTATGTATTCATGGTATGTTTTGCGAAAGTAGGTTATCAGTGGGCGTCGAGATCGGGGTCAGGACGCCGGCGACGCCGCAATTGTTGCTGTCTGACGTAGATAAATAATATCGCTTTTGTTTCAAACTATTTATCACGCGTTAACGAGAGCGCTAAATATAACTGATGAATTGAGCGTTTTAAATTAGTTCCTCTCTTTTGGCTCCTGAAATTCATCAGTCCGAAAATACATCGAAGTTTATCAATTAACTTAGTTCTATGCATAATGTTTGTACATTTAGCTATAAATTATCTAATCACAATTTGCGTTCTTTCCTCGGTTAAAGGTATGATTGAGAATCATCGCTTTAGTGAAGATTATGAAAAATATGAAATGATCAGCTCAGCTCACTATGTTGTCAATCTATGGGCCATGTTTGACAGCTGTCACTTTGAGTCAAAACGTCAACAATTTTATATTATGAACAAATTTATATAATAAATATTCAAATTAAATATACTATAATACGGACTATGCGAGGTGTTGCTTGAAAAGAAACAACAAAACAATTTTGAAACCGTACTATTGTGAATGCGGACTGTACGAGGTGTTGCTGTATACTCAAATTGGAAAGAAATGCGAAACAAAAATAATGACTCAATTATTAAACTGTGCTATAGTGAATCCGGATTATGTGAGATATGCTGTATATTGACATGGAAAAGAAATACAAAGCAATAATAATGAATCAAGTTTCAAATCGTACTATTGTGAATCCGGACTGTACGAGGTGTTGCTGTATATTCAAATTGGAAATTAATGCAAAACAAAAATAATGACTCAATTATTAAACTGTACTATAGTGAATCCGGACTATGTGAGATATTGCTGTGTATTCACATGAAAAATTAATTAAAAATTTACTAGGCAATATATAGACGTAATTGTAGTAATCAATTCGATGTCTCTCGATCATAAAATTATTATTTTTAGAATATTTATGCTATAATCATTGAATTCAAAATTTCCTAGATAGAAAGTCCACAAATTCACGAGATTACGAGAGAAACGTTTGCAATGTTTACAAAAAGATACGATTATACGAGAGAGAGAGAGAGAAAAAAATAGCAACGAATGTTTACATAAATCTACACGTAATTAAACTTTAGTTCGTCAATTCATTTTTTTTTCTCCCTCCAGTCTGATAATTACGTATGTGGATGATAATTGAACATATGATTAAGTCATAAACGAGTGCAATGAAATTCCAAGTTTCCGTATAGATTAATACTATAAGTTTATTGTAGATTGATTTCATTTTTGCAATTTAAGGCCTCTTTCTTGAAGATTTTCTAGAAAATTAAGATATAATTGAAAAGGTGGTACAATGAAGAGTTAAACGTATGTTTAAATGAAATGCTTTCTTTTTAATAATAATAATGCGCTTGGATGGTGTTTTGGGATGTGGCTCAAGGTGATGTTCCCGAGATCAATTTAATTTTTTTCTTCTTGGTTGTTGATGAATTGCGAGCTGCGCTGACCGCATGCAGCAGAACGGCGGCAGTGGCGGCGGCGGCACACGATGAATATGTAATTGGCTTCTGTGCGGTTGATTTTCAAGTAGGCGTCGTCGTCCCTCGCGGAATCGATATTAAAAGCGTTTCGCGTGCAGATAAACTCGGTTTCAAACATGGGTTTAACGCTGCAATCACGACCCGTTATCAGTCGTAGCAAAGGTTAACACCGCTCTCAGCTGGTCGCACGTCACCGAATGTTACTATGCTGCTGCTGCTACTGCCGCTGCTGTCATGTGTTCTCTCCATTCATTCTCCATTCTATAAAACTGTAGCTGCACGCGCGGCGGGAAACGAAATTAACTTTTATATATACACATGCGTTTGCGTGTGTTGGTTTTCTATATGTCTGTGTAAATATAAATGATGAATGAATGGGTGCTGTGTCGCTAACAGCATCATGGATGGTAGATGAAGAATAGTAGAGACTAATATTGAATGTTTCTCTTTGTTTTTTCGCAGCAATTACATAGGCAAAGACGGCGGAGAGCCACCCACACCAATGGACACCGAGAAGCGGATCCGCAGGGAGATTGCGAACAGCAACGAGAGGAGGCGGATGCAGAGCATAAACAATGGTTTCCAGTCGTTGAGGTCCCTTCTGCCTCACCACGAAGGTGAAAAGTTGAGCAAGGTTAGTAGTCGCCGTCGCCCGTTCCATGAGGAGAGTGGAAGAGGAGGAGGAACTTTGGCTCCATGAGGTTTCAGAACTTCGGGAGTCGCAAGCTGCCAAATACATCAGCAGTGACTCACACACAGATGTAGTAGTTAGTTGGCTTGCTGCTGCTCAGCTGATCATCCATTATAAATAGCGATCACAAGTGTGTCTAGACTAAGGCGACCGACTATTTCAGTCGCTTTCGGTCACCGGCGTCTTACTATTCTCATTTCCCATCGGCAATTGCACAATTATTATATATCTCTCTCTCACACTCGTAACATACACTTCTCTTGTTGTTGTTGTTGTTTTTCATCGTCGTTACTTCCTCCTCGCCTGTTACGAAACGCTGCCGATATAAATATAGAGATCGGGCGATTTTGAGGAGCTCCTTAACGCGCACGTGATAAAAGCTTATTATTATCATCATCAGCTTATACGAGAATAGTAATATTATTAGAATGGTAGAAAGTCGTCCGACCTTACAAGGCTCTTTCCATGTATTATTACGATTTGCCTATTGCATAAGCCGACGAAGGGTTCGAACGAAAGGCAAGAATTTTTCTCTCACGCCTCGACGAAGGTCACGTCCCCTTTGCTCCGGGTGAAACAATTGCTCTGTACAAGCGGAATGTCGCAAGTGTATGTATGTAAGTGTACTCGGCTCAGCTCTTTGGGCAAACTTAAATATACGTGTATACGAAAATACCCTGACCCAGATTTCTGTGCGTCTGGCGCGTACGTTAGGAATGTCACGGACGTCGTCATCGTCGGATCATCATCGCCGTAGCCGAAGACACCAAATAGGATGTTTCCTCCTTTTCCGTTTATATATATATATATATATATCTATATTGCTTTCTATCAAAGTTTGCTTTGTTGAATGAACATGCCCACGCTCGATTAGTTAATTCACTTAGCATACATCTTTGGACGTACATACGGTGCGAGCGTGGACGGAATACAGCAGCAGACGCATTACGCGCCAACTCTTCCTCCTTCTCCTCCCATTCGAGGCTTAATAATGTAATAATGTTCCGATTATATTTGTATCGCTTTGAAAAGGAAGTGAAATTACGGTCGCGTTGTCCCATTATCATCATCGTCATCATCTCAGTTAAGAACGTGCACAAAACGCAAACTTTGGACCTTTTCGGCGTAATCGAAAGAGATCGCCTTGTCTTTCGCGATCGAGGTTTACTGCTCGCAGCAAGGTCGTCTCATTTGCGAAGGTCGAATCGGCTATAGCTTTTTTTTGCATTGCAAATATGCAAGCAAGTATAAAGTTGATTGTAATCATCATAGTAATAATCAAAGGACAATAACAGCTGTTTAGATTATGCAGCAATTGAACTGTTTCCAATCAAATGCGACTAAATGGTAAAGGTCAAAAGTTCACTATTCTAAACTGAAAGTGTGTATTTTAATATGCATGTTCTTTTTTTTTTAAATCCTACATTATTTACAATCTATTCCTGGTAAATTGTTTTGCGGTGACAGTTCTAAGAAAACGTAATTTTCCTTGATTGCATTATAAAAATGTACAATCTAAGTGGCGTTTCAAACATTAACGTTTCTTCACTCGTTAAACTATTGCCAGGAAAATTTATTTTTATATCTGCTATTGTTAAGACACTCACAGTTTTTATTATCATTCTTAGAGTCTTAAATCTTTACGAGTTTGAACTTAATCATGAAAATTACACAATTTTCTTCTTTTACGAATCATATACACAATTGGCTGATTATTGTAAATTGTACTTTATAAAATATAACTTATTGAGTGTGTAGAAAGTAAGTCCAAATGTCATTATCCTCGTAATTATTTGATATTACATATGGTAACTTATACAATTGTAGAGAGAGAGAGAGAGTAGACGTAGTTATAAGGTTGCCAAACACTGACCTATGTGCATGCATTTGTGTGCAAGACGGACAAGGTTTTTCATAGAGGAATTAATATTGAACAAAAATACGCGTTATCGATCGGGGTTGCGGCTTTTGTAATTTATGTGTTGTGTTGGGTACGTCAATCATAATTCAATGGTTTACGTAATGCGTTGCGCGCGTTTGTTTACCTTCCTGTAAAATAAACAAACGGCGAGCGAGCGAGCAGCAGCAAATTCTATTCCATTGTGTGTGAATGTGTATGAAAAAATAAATAAAATAGGATGTAAATAAAAAAACGTACACACGCGAGCAAACATAACGCGAGGCGAGGTACGGTTTGGTAGAGGTGTACTACGTACGTGCATTAGATGAGCAGTCGAAGAAAGTCGTCGGAAGGCGAATGAACTCTTTTAGTGTACACTACAGACCATGAAGGTCTCGGCTGACTGACGTAGAACTAATTGGGCCCTAACGTAGGCCGCCAACCTGAAAGCACACCAGCTAGCCAACGCCAAAACAAGCTCTAATACTAGATAGCAGGTGCCCACAATGTAGAAAGAGAGTTTACACACATTTTGACCTGCTAATTAAAAACGGCGTTCTCGTTCACTTATTTACTACAAACGGGCGATATATTGGATATACATACACATACCATATATGCATAGTAGCACAGAACTCCGTTTAGTTAATTATACTTGAACTGTATAAAAGATTAAGCAATAGTATTATTGACTTTACAAATTTACTGAATTGCTCTTGATAAAAATGAAGTAATACTACAGATTATTTAAGTAGTATCTTATGGTTATTGCTTAACTATTTGCAAATTTTAATTTTATAATATATTAGTTAATATTTCTTATCTCAAACTGTTGTTACATATAATTGCTTTGATTAAACTAACATTGCAATGAACATTATTAATTGGTTTCCAAGTATGTGATGTTGTATTTTTCTGCTGGAAAACAAGTTTTAGGTGGTAAAACATATTTTTTTCTTGATAGTTTTTTTTTTATAAATTTTATTTTTCACGTTGAATATGGGTTATTTTTAATGAAAATGAAGTTCTCTTGTTATATGCTGTAAATTGGGCACTGCGTGACCTGTATAGGTGGCGGCGTGTTGCAACGGCCGTTTATTGACTCGCTGAAATCGCACGTAAACGAGTGTGCAAGTAGTACTATGCATTCTACGCGTTGCATACTATATACATACACTAGAGCTCTCGACCTGGCCGCAGCTCTAGCTAGCAGCAGCAGCAGCAGCGGATGAAAGCGAGTCGGAAATGGCGTCAGGTCGCCCCCCTCGTCTCTCCTGACTACCGACCGAAACCGCGCCCTGATGCAATCTCATCGCACCTGACAATATTTTCATCATTACCACAGCCATTGACACATATACTTCGGTCCCGGACTCTTAGGCTTCGATCAAACCACCTAAGTATGCTTGATATATCTTCTTTTTTTTTCTGTAATGAAGATCTTGGATGAAATCAAAAGTGGTTGGTGGGAAGGAAGAGAAAAAAAAAAGGAAGGAGAGAAGTAGTACGATGTAGTGGATGACTACTATACTGGGAAAAATCCGGGTGGTCCGAGGAGGTTTTTCCCCCAATTGTTTCGAGTGTATCTGTCGGATCGATGATTGGCCGCCGTTGCTACGGCAACCGACGATGACGTCATCGGATCGATAGGGAGTGTATGTGTAGGACAGCCGCCTCTAGAATGTACGCATTACGCGACACTACCATTCAAGAACTTTCGCGTAGTATATAACTAAACATAACATGACCATTATTATTTTCACTATTTTCTCCATCGCACGGATCTCTTTCTCTTCCGTCGTTCTTCAACTTCGACCGCTTCCATCTTCATCATCTATTTTCGCCATTGTTTCAGGCCTCCATCAGGGGTCCATTTCGGAAGAAATGCATGTGGCTCTCCATAATGGACGTTGTTTCCATGGAGATGCGTGGCGGGAACGGCACACAGCCACACCCGACCAACATCATCCTGTATCTATACACACTCATATGCAGACAGCTTTACTTAATACATCAGATGTTATTTTCAAACAAACGCATTTTCAAAATACTTCTATATTAATTTCTTCAAATTAATTACCATTTGATTTATGATCTAGTATTTTCAAGAAATGAAATTTTATAGTACAAATTTAATTGTTTGTTTCGAACCTAATCGAATTCGATACTGAAAATGCATAACTGTTGTGTGTTTTGTTACATTGTGAATGAGCCACGTGCAAATTGGCATCTCGACATTGGCCTTCCGAGCGATCACATCTTGAATCGCGTATAAATCGTACTTTCATCCGAAATGAACGATGATGGCTTTGCTCGTTTTTTTCCCCCTATTCTTTTCTCTCGTTTGTTTGGTAAAGGACGTCGCGGTGCATTGGCCTTGGCATTTTTGGCTCGCGTCCTTTTCGTTATATTTAAACCAGAGTTTTAAGTTACATCAGCCACTTTTGAAGTCTTGGATGCTTCAAACATAGGCAGATTTCATTTCCCTGAAAAGAAAGAAAAAAGAGTTTCAAAGTTGTGTTTTTGTCTGATATTATTTCATTATTACATAATTGCATCATTTTTGCGTGGGTCTGACTGCCTTACGAATGCATCGTTAAGGTAGTCTCCTGTTGAAATAACAATTGATATTATATCCTGTTATTTGTTTGGCAGTTTCATTTCAAAAATATTGAACATTGTGTGAATATGTTTAATGTAAATATTTATGTTTCATACAAATTTTGTTGTTAATGTTGTAGTTTATAAGTGTAATTTTCGTTCGGCGGCGGTTTGAGGATGGATGCTGCATGGTCTTAGCGTGCTGCGACTATGTTTGACCTTTACTTACAATCGGAAATGATCGATAAAAGCGTCGGGGCGTCGTCCCAAGGACATAAGCCTGCATCGCAATATATATTCCAAGGTCACGCATTTGTCGACGTCACGTGCTCATACATTTTTAAATGGAAAACCGCCCTCCGATCGGCCGACGCCGCTTCTCGCCTCCCATGTGTCCATGTATGCGCGCTCAATTAGCGTACTTCCTGTACTGTTGCAGCGC